AGGCTGTCCCGGCCCAGAGTGCCAGTTGTCCCGGCCCAGAGTGCCAGTTGTCCCGGCCCAGAGTGCCAGTTGTCCCGGCCCAGAGTGCCAGTTGTCCCGGCCCAGAGTGCCAGTTGTCCCGGCCCAGAGTGCCAGTTGTCCCGGCCCAGAGTGCCAGTTGTCCCGGCCCAGAGTGCCAGTTGTCCCGGCCCAGAAGACTGTTGTATCTCCACGTGTGGTGTCCAGCAAGGTAGTGCTGGGTACCGTCTTCCCATACTCTCAACTACATTGTCGTTATCATTCATATTTGCGATTAAATCTAATAACGGATTGAGTAAACACTTGGATAAGGTAAATATTTGTTTCACTCAGTATTAGTTCATCCTGTTCTCCTAAGGTTTCCCAACGTCAAGAAACTGTCGTACTAAAGTGCCCTTCTCTTAACCAACCAGAGGACCCAAAATAGAAAGCGGAACAGTATGTTAATTTCGCGAGCCGCTTCCATTTTCTTGTACGACGATTTTTGGCCTTAGGTAGAGTGTACGTCAAAATGCGGCCTTCTGTTAGGGAGACGGGTTGGTTAGTCACTCGCAGTGAACACATTACTTAGTCTCACGACCGGCAGCTCGCCTGCTCAGACTCAAGGACCAGGGAATTATCTCCCAAGTAAACGTGTCTTTTGAGCACAGGGGGGAGGGGGGGGGGGGTTGACTGCACACGTGTGGCTCTGGGGAGGGTGGGGGGGGGTCAACCTCTGCTGCACCCTCGTCCCTCGAGAGTGAAAGGGGTAACGAATACACCGTCGTCCCTTGGGGGTGTCCTCTGTTCCCTCATCCCATAGAGGGGTGACCTCTTACCTTCTTCCCTCGGGAGGGGTGACTTCTGCACCCCAGTACCTCAAAAGGGGTGACTTCTGCACCCCAGTACCTCAGAAGGGGTGACCTCTACACTCGTCCCTCAGAGGAGGGAGTGACCTCTACAGGGACTCCCGGCGCCACCTGTAGTATTTTCAATGGACAAATGCTACAAGATTGAGAGAGAGGAGCGTAGGGACCCCTGGGTGTCGCGGGGGATTACCGGAGAGGGATGTAGTGTGGAGTGAGGAGGATTGAGAAGGGACGGAGGATGAGAATAGCTGTGTGTGAGGACGAGGAGGATGGCCAAGGGAAAGAAAATTTGGACATAACAGAAAAAATCTGTTTCATGGTTCTATTTCTCCTCATAATGTGGTTAAATTAACGAGGCGATTACCGAAGCCACCCCGTCTGCCAGCGTTAGCGGAACGACCCCGTCTGCCAGCGTTAGCGGAACGACCCCGTCTGCCAGCGTTAGCGGCACGACCCCGTCTGCCAGCGTTAGCGGCACGACCCCGTCTGCCAGCGTTAGCGGCACGACCCCGCCTGCCAGCGTTAGCGGCACGACCCCGCCTGCCAGCGTTAGCGGCACGACCCCGCCTGCCAGCGTTAGCGGCACGACCCCGCCTGCCAGCGTTAGCGGCACGACCCCGCCTGCCAGCGTTAGCGGCACGACCCCGCCTGCCAGCGTTAGCGGCACGACCCCGCCTGCCAGCGTTACATGATTGTGGTATAACACCCTGGGGTGGGGGAAGGGCGGTTCAGTATTCCTCGTTACCATTTATAACAAGAGACAGTATTTTACCCTCAAATATTTGATTTAGCAAATCTACGTAAAGATTTTACCAACATTCATTTCCACTCTTAATTAGTCTAGGGAAGCTGCCACCACACTATGTTATGATGACATGGTTCTGGGATGAACCATCAGGTGAATCATCACACAAAACTGGAATCACTCGACTTCGGGATAAACAAGAGTTCACTGAAAGAAATTAAATACAAAAGGAATTTACTTAAGTAGTCTTTCAAATGGAAATATTTATCAAAGTGAGTGTACTTCAAACTGAGGAATATATAGACAAGTACACTCTATACTATAAGAAAATGAATGACTTTCTTTGCTCGGATAAAGATATACGCAACAACCCATCTGACTTCACTTGTTACACCAAGCCCACCGAATTTATTAAACCAAAAAAAAAAAAAAAAAAAAAAAAAAAATTACACCTGGTCTATTTCTCTCTCTCTCTCTCTTTTAACCTCCCCCCCCCCTCAAGCCATCTGAGGCATTACAGTAATATCAAGCCTGGTCCAGCTATTATCACCCATCTTTCATCCACTTCTCCCCTACATTCTCCCTATCTGCTGTCATTCTTCCCTCTGTTCCTGAGTATGTGTCATTACCATTCTCTTTACAATCCATCCTATTTTCCCTTGCCTCATTTCTTCCTTCTCTCCTTCCACCCTTTCACATTATAATCTTTATTTATAAAATATAAATTTGAAGTCCGTCACAGTGTAGTGTTGCTGGGTACACAGTGTAGTGTTGGTGGGTACACAGTGTAGTGTAGGTGGGTACACAGTGTAGTGTTGGTGGGTACACAGTGTAGTGTTGGTGGGTACACAGTGTAGTGTTGCTGGGTACACAGTGTAGTGTTGGTGGGTACACAGTGTAGTGTTGGTGGGTACACAGTGTAGTGTTGGTGGGTACACAGTGTAGTGTTGGTGGGTACACAGTGTAGTGTTGGTGGGTACACAGTGTAGTGTTGGTGGGTACACAGTGTAGTGTTGGTGGGTACACAGTGTAGTGTTGGTAGGTACACAGTGTACTGGTGAAGGGCGCCAGTGTAGTGTTGGTGGGTACACAGTGTAGTGTTGGTGGGTACACTGTGTAGTGTAGGTGGGTACACAGTGTACTGGTGAAGGGCGCCACAGTGTAGTGTTGGTGGGTACACAGTGTACTGGTGAAGCCACTGGTGCTCGCAGCGTCCCTCCACATGAAAATGATCATTTCAACATTTGTCAGTTCTGAAGGAAACTCAAACGTCGTTTTTTACGAAGCATTTCTCAACGGCCGTTGTTCGGTAAACAAAGCTAAGGACCAACCACAATTATCTAGGAAACACCGGATTAGTGACGGCTGAAACTTGCAGAAAGTGTTTTGAACATTGAGAGAAGACCCCATCATCATTCTCAGTCCCCACCCGTCAGTCACCCGTCGTCACCCGCAGTGTCCCCCCCTTGTAAGACCTGTGCTCTGGACAAAGTGCAGTTCACATTAATGGGACAGTGATTACTATAATGCCGTGAATTTTACGTTTCATTAATTTTATTACCAACTTCGCTGTAAAAGTATTGGTCATTATAACCATTGTCTTATTAGTTTATCAGAATGGTCTCTGTTGTCCATGTGGGGCGCTGGTCTCTGTTGTCTAGCATTATGTTGTCCATGTGGGGCGCTGGTCTTTGTTGTCTAGCATTATGTTGTCCATGTGGGGCGCTGGTCTCTGTTGTCTACCATTATGTTGCCTATGTGGGGCGCTGGTCTCTGTTGTCTAGCATTATGATGTCCATGTGGGGCGCTGGTCTCTGTTGTCTAGCATTATGTTGTCCATGTGGGGCGCTGGTCTCTGTTGTCTACCATTATGTTGCCTATGTGGGGCGCTGGTCTCTGTTGTCTAGCATTTTGATGTCCATGTGGGGCGCTGGTCTCTGTTGTCTACCATTATGTTGCCTATGTGGGGCGCTGGTCTCTGTTGTCTAGCATTATGATGTCCATGTGGGGCGCTGGTCTCTGTTGTCTACCATTATGTTGCCTATGTGGGGCGCTGGTCTCTGTTGTCTAGCATTATGTTGCCTATGCGAGGTGCAGGTTTCTGTTGTCTAGCGTGCCTATAACTTTAAGCCATGCAGGTTAAAGTTACACTACAGGTAAAGCCAACTTGGTCTCTCCAGTGTTGTGTTGGGGCCGGGACGGTTGCAGGGTAAATATTGGCGCCGTGAGACGCCGCGCCGCTTCTGTAGCCTCGTCATATTGTGTGCTCTGGGGGAGTCTTGGCCGCCCGGCATGTTTTGACAGGACAAACGGCTTCGTAGTCCTAAATGAGAACAATTCACAGGAGTGAGAGAATGGGAGGAGGCAGAGGGCGATAGTGGGGAATGGGGTTAAAGAGCAAATACAGTACACATATGTACACAGTATATGTTTATATACGCGATCATCCTCGTGTAGAATTAAACTGAAATTTGCATTGCTTCTACATTTGACCCAAGGAAGGGTAAACAATGTGTGGAATAGTAGAGTGGGCTTGTGGGTCTTGCCTTTACCTGACAATGAGTTTTTGCTTATTTATGTTATGTTCGGCGTATTTTGGTAAGTCTCCGATGATATCAGAGTGTGATATTTAAGTCCGTGGTGTAGTGGTAAGACACTCGCCTGGCGTTGCGCGAGCGCTTTGTCATGGGTTCGTATCCTGGCCGGGGAGGATTTACTGGGCGCAAATCCGTAACTGTAGCCTCTGTTTAACGCAACAGTAAAATATGTACTCGGTTGTAACAACGATTCTTCGCGGCGGGGATCGTATTCCAGGGACCTGCCCGAAACGCTACGCGTACTAGTGGCTGTACAAGAATGTAACAACTCTTGTATATATCTCAAAAAAAAAAATAATATTTTCCTTTTCAAACCAAGAAATCTATTTCAGAAACCCCGGGGTTCTTAGGGGACGCCGGGGACCCTTAACCCAAACATTTTGGGTTGTGAAGGACCCTAAAGCCATATAGTATTAACTTCTTCACAGTGAATAGTGGAGATGGTGCGTAGGGAGGCTTATCTCCTGTTGCTCACCGGGCAGCGACACGAGCCTCAGATAATCATAAGAGAAGCGTATCAGTTTCCAATCTCCCTTGTTAAGCCTACTCCTCCCCCCACCCCCCCCCCCCCCCACTCCCCTCACAATACTCTGCTTTCCCCTCTAGCTGCCTCTCCTGTCCCCTCTGTCAACACCGCTGCCCCCGTCCTCCCCATCCCTCCCACCTTCTCCATATATTCATAACGCAGAAACTAAATTCATTACGAAACCATCAAGAAGACGCAGAGAAAGTCTAACTTTAGATTCTGAGAAAGTCTGAAGTTTAAGAGGTAAAAAGAGAGGGAGAACTTTGTCATAATGGCAGGTTTGGGAGCTGCTGGAGTCCTTGTGGGCGGGTTTGGGAGCTGCTGGAGTCCTTGTGGGCGGGTTTGGGAGCTGCTGGAGTCCTTGTGGGTGGGTTTGGGAGCTGCTGGAGTCCTTGTGGGCGGGTTTGGGAGCTGCTGGAGTCCTTGTGGGCGGGATTGGGAGCTGCTGGAGTCCTTGTGGGCGGGATTGGGAGCTGCTGGAGTCCTTGTGAACAGGTTTGGGAGCTGCTGGAGTCCTTGTGAACAGGTTTGGGAGCTGCTGGAGTCCTTGTGGGCGGGTTTGGGAGCTGCTGGAGTCCTTGTGGGCGGGTTTGGGAGCTGCTGGAGTCCTTGTGGGCGGGTTTGGGAGCTGCTGGAGTCCTTGTGGGCGGGTTTGGGAGCTGCTGGAGTCCTTGTGGGCGGGTTTGGGAGCTGCTGGAGTCCTTGTGGGTGGGTTTGGGAGCTGCTGGAGTCCTTGTGGGCGGGTTTGGGAGCTGCTGGAGTCCTTGTGGGCGGGATTGGGAGCTGCTGGAGTCCTTGTGGGCGGGATTGGGAGCTGCTGGAGTCCTTGTGAACAGGTTTGGGAGCTGCTGGAGTCCTTGTGAACAGGTTTGGGAGCTGCTGGAGTCCTTGTGGGCGGGTTTGGGAGCTGCTGGAGTCCTTGTGGGCGGGTTTGGGAGCTGCTGGAGTCCTTGTGGGCGGGTTTGGGAGCTGCTGGAGTCCTTGTGGGCGGGTTTGGGAGCTGCTGGAGTCCTTGTGGGCGGGTTTGGGAGCTGCTGGAGTCCTTGTGGGCGGGTTTGGGAGCTGCTGGAGTCCTTGTGGGCGGGTTTGGGAGCTGCTGGAGTCCTTGTGGGCGGGTTTGGGAGCTGCTGGAGTCCTTGTGGGCGGGTTTGGGAGCTGCTGGAGTCCTTGTGGGCGGGATTGGGAGCTGCTGGAGTCCTTGTGAACAGGTTTGGGAGCTGCTGGAGTCCTTGTGAACAGGTTTGGGAGCTGCTGGAGTCCTTGTGGGCAGGTTTGGGAGCTGCTGGAGTCCTTGTGGGCAGGTTTGGGAGCTGCTGGAGTCCTTGTGGGCGGGATTGGGAGCTGCTGGAGTCCTTGTGGGCAGGTTTGGGAGCTGGTGGAACCCTGATGAGCAGGTTTGGAAGGTTGTGCATGAAAGGGGAGTAAATTATGAAAGTATTTAGCTAAATATAAACCAATTTTAATTCTTCTACATTTACCCTTTACCTTCTGTTCTAGAGAATCCCTCTCCTATAGCTACCTAGGATAGGGGATGGTCTTGTGTCATGCAAGGTTAGCGTTCGATCCCCGATGGTCCTAGCCTTGGGCTCGGTTCCTTCATTCCATCCTCGTATTCCAGCTTCTGTCCTCAAGTCCCTTCCAAGTTGTTATATGGCCTGGCTTAGCCCACTTATCCTGATAATTACCCTTCTCTTTGGATTTCCATATTTCTCGGGTCTCAAGGAACAAGGATTGTCACTCGGCAGTCAAATCCTAACTGGCCTTTTTATTTTGTAACAGCCGTTCTTTACCTCCCGTGGGCCTAATGGGTGTGATGATATCCTGGCGTGTATATCCTAGCTGCCCATTAGCCTACGGGGTGTGATATCATGGCGTGTATATCCTAGCTGCCCATGAGCCTACGGGTGTGATATCTTGGCGTGTATATCCTAGCTGCCCATGAGCCTACGGGTGTGATATCTTGGCGTGTATATCCTAGCTGCCTATGAGCCTACGGGGTGTGATATCCTGGCTTGTATATCCTAGAACGATCATCATTTACAAAGATGCTGTTCTGGTGTCATCTACATGCAGGGTCCATATCGCCGAGGGTTCGAGCCTCTGGTGGTGTTGGTGGCTACGCACCATGTCCACCTGTTATCGTGTCCGCCGCCACCTGCGATTCCGTGTTCCCAGGGGTCGGCGGGCGGCACTTGCTCCCCCGAGGGACTGGTATTGAACGAGGCGGGGCGGGGGCACCTTCACGGAGAGGGGAGCCCACCGTTTATAGGGTCCGTTTACGCAGATGGCTTCGGTGGTTCCCGTCAGGTAGGTCCTCCTGGGGTAGTTACATAGTCCCACGAGGGGGGGCTGCCTTTCTCCCCCCCCCTTCCCTCCCCCCCTCCCCGGGCTGCGTCGCTGTGGTAATTGGGGAACACCTGTGTGTGTCTCCTGGGAGCTCTGAACACTTGGGTGAGGCCGTGACGAACACCTGTGTGAGGGTGTTGGCCCATCCTCTTCGGGAGGGGGGGGGAGGGGTTGACGTCTTAGACGGACACTTGTACACGAACACAGGGGTCTCGTGGCTGAGTGGATAGCACTCGGGGGTCATAGTTTTTAGAGCCAGGGTTCGACTTCCGGCCGAAGTAGAAACAAATAAGCAGAGTTTTTTCACTCTAATTTCGCCTAACAGTAAATCGGTACCGTATTAATTATTAATTAGTTACATTATTATAATAATACTTGTAATTACTAATTATTACTGTTCCTTCTCGTTGATCTTGAAGGAAGCCGGCCTCGGGTAAAAGGAGGCCGTGACGATCTCTGTCTGGAACCCGTAGGTGCGGGACCGGGACGTCCACCTCCTGGGGCTTGGGCGGCCCCAAGCTTGCTTCAGGAGGCTGGGGTTGTTCTTCCCCCGACCACGGCGGTCTCCGGGTTTGGAGTCCCTGTGCCTTCTTTTACCAACTTCGAGGTTAACTCCGGAGCTGGAGCCCCGAGGGCAGTTCCTTGTTGCCCTCACCCTCGTTCTCACAGTTCCTGCGACGGCGCTGGAACCAATCGTATTGACGTTTGCCTTTCCATTGGAGACTTTCGGCGCCGTGGAGAGGGAAGGGGGAGGGGGGGGGGTCGCCTGCTGCTTGGGTGACAACTTCTCCATATCAACTTACCCTGGCTTTGGGCCCTGGAGCCAGGGTTGGTTGATGTGGAGATCTTCTTAGTCATTCCGAAGTCTGAGTGTGCTGGCTAACTGACCAGCCCGTCCTCCTAAGGTATCAAAACGTTAAGAAAACGGTTAAAGTGTCATTCCCCCTAGCCTAACAGACTAATCCAGAGGACCCAAAACGGGACAGTGCGTCACTTTTGCCAGCCGCTTTCATTTTCTAGTACGACAATTTTTGGCCTTGTGTAACGCATACGTGCGAAAAGCGACGTTCTTTGTAAGAGGACAGGTTGAAGAGAGCGCATGAGCCTGTGTCACTAGGCACCCTGAGTGGTGACGATCTGTAACCACTCTGTAACTCTTCATCAAGCTTACACGGACCTGAAACAAGACCCGTGTGTGTTTTAATAAAGACAAAAACATACTACCAGATGACTATCTTTATTAAGTGTTGCTGCATTGCCATCGACTCCCCTCGCTCCCCCCACCCCCGCTCCCCCCACCCCTGCTCACCCCACCCCCGCTCACCCCACCCCCGCTCACCCCAATCAGTCACACAATCACCCCTTTACTAACACCTTGAAGGAGAGCTTCGACAAAGAATTTGAGTATCAGAATAGTTAAACAATAAGGCAACAGATACACAAATAGAGTAGGCTGGGTATATAGACCTAGGTAGACCTCACTTCACCGTTGTCAGTGATGGGAGGTGGTCATCCACCTATCTTGCCTCCCACTAAGTTTCAAGCTAAACTTTCTAATATGCTGCACTCACCTGAGGTCTATAGAAGAAGAGCGAAATCTGATTATGCATTTTGGTTCTACAAGGTAGCCAACTCCATCAAAATATTAAATATGTACTCAACTCAATGATTAATCAACCAATTACTCCATGGGATAACTGGGATCTATCAGTTGATTTTGTAAATGCACCCAAAATAGATAGTGTACACTCTAGATTATTAAAACAGTTAGCACTGAAAAGCATCACTGAGAACACTCAGAGAATGAGTAACGATGTATATCAGTGCTATACCGACGGCTCTGTAGAAGAAGGTGGACGATATACCGGTTGCGTACGTAATATATTTGAACAATCTTCTCTCGTACATACAGCAATGAAGCGCGTCAATGACTGGGCAAGTACAACTCAAACCGACCGAACTTGCAGGCATATACCTTGCCACTGAATTTTTAAAAGACAAAGGCAGTGGACTTGTATACTGTGACTCGCAGAGTGCACTCCTGGCATTGAACGCACATAGCAGTAACACCCATAAAATAGTCAGTGATATTCGAATGAATGTTTTAGCTGCTAAAGAAAACAGATTTGAAATTCAATTCCTATGGATACCATTACATGTTGGCATCTCAAGGCATAACATTGTTGATATGCTTGCAAAGGCAGCCTGTAGAAAACCAGTGGTAGAAATTGATATGGTGTTTCATTAGCAGTGACAAAGAGAATACTTAAACAAATATCTAATGAAAATCTCACCGACCTAACAAATTCACAAAGACCTGAAAATTGTAGCATTAAATATTATGATAGATATCGTGAGGTGACATTCACATATGGGACTAATAGAACAAGAACCCGGCAATGTGATGTTATAGTGGCCAGAATACGCCTGGGATATATAGACGTATCTGGCAGCTTTCTCAAAACCCAAATGTCGAGTACACAATGTGTCAACTTTGTGAAAGAGAAAACATGCACTCTCTTGAACATTATATTGTAGAATGTCCCATACTGACTGACTTTGCCCTCCTGGGCTAAGGTATGCTGAACTCTGTAGTTACTATATGAGTACTGGAACACTTGATGATATATTGGACTTGTATCCAAGATTGACCATGTAATGTATCAATTATACAATGTATATATGTGATGTAACTATATCACCTGAGCTTGTAAAAGCATCTTGATCACCTTCAGTGGTTAAGTGCTTAATTGCACACTAGTTTCTCTATCAGCTATCTCACCCTGTCAGAGTAAAAGAGACAAATGTATGTGTATGTGTGTATATATATGTGTATATGCATATGTACGTATATGTGTGTGTGTGTGTATGTGTATAAAGTATATGTGGAAGCTGATCAGAATTACATTTCATTTTTGTAAATGCACATTAATGACACTATGTAAAAGACACATCGAACACTTTATGTAGGGCATACGTAAATCTGTGTATCTATATATTTACGTATGTAGGTTAGCTTAGCATTTTAAAGGCACTACAATCACCTTCTGTGCTTGATTGTTCAATAAACCCTTGAACTATATGGTTAACAAATCTCCAACCCTGTCCATGGAGGACAGGAGAAAATGTATACATGCTGATTAGCATTGTTAATGTGTGGCCACGTCTGTGGTAGAAAATAATAATAATAATACAAAAATCTCCCACTACCGCCCACAAGATGGGTATGGAGGCCAAGTAAATTAACTTAACTAAACTAGTGTACAATCACGACAAGCCGTCTGTGATGGGTAAACACGGGAAGCTGTCTGTGGGGCGCGCGAGAGACTGAGGGTGGTGTGTAAGCCTGTACTACAGAGCGAGGGGAGAGGGGAGACACCAGAGGTAAGAAAGGGGAACCTGAGCCGGTCCAAAAGAGGCGAGGGACCCACAATGGGCTTGTGGTGTGTAATCCAACCCTCCACCACTCGAGGCGTCGGGCTCTGCCCTGTGCTGGCCACAGAATCCCAGCTCTGGCCACTTTTATGGAATTTCCCCTTTTTTGTCCTTTGATATAACTGGCTGTAAGAGTGAGGGGAATATTTGTAGAGTAACGAGTACAGGTGTTGTGAAATGCTGTTTAATGCTGTAGATTCACTTTTGTGAAGCATATATTTATTGTATAGGCAGACACATTGGTTGTGATGGTCAGACATATTGGTTGTGGTGGTGATGGGCAGACATATTGGTTGTGGTGGTGATGGGCAGACATATTGGTTGTGGTGGTGATGGGCAGACATATTGGTTGTGGTGGTGATGGGCAGACATATTGGTTGTGGTGGTGATGGGCAGACATATTGGTTGTGGTGGTGATGGGCAGACATATTGGTTGTGGTGGTGATAGAGGAGGACCAGGAGGCCTAGTCGGAGACCGGGCCGCGGGGCCGTTGATCCCCGGAAGCTACACAAGGTAGGTGAGAACACAGACAGCGAGGCTTAGTTACGACACCTGTGGACTCAGACAATAGTCTGCGTAATTGTCTTTATTCTTGGCACACTCGTGACCAGTGTTGCGTGTCAGTACGTG